CACACCCCTCTCTAACACACACACACACACACACACACCTCTGCAACGCACACACACACACACACACACACACAATTGGTCACGACTCTTGTGGACCCTCAAGGGCTGCTTTGATCTTGGCCACAGTGCAAGAAATCAGGCCGCTCACTGTCGTGATGGAAGAAAATGAAAGTTTTTCCTGAGGCGCGTTGCTGACCAGGATCTGGAATGCAATTGTGAGCAGCGAACCCCTGCGGAGAGCCGTTGGTTTCGTCATCCCCCTCATCCCCAGACCAACACCTCCGTTCCTCATTGCTTGCCCTCCAAGTCCGACCACTCCAAGCCTGGGTCCCCCCAGCCCTAGTCCAAGCCCAGCATTCAATATCCCCCCCCCTGGCGATCCCAGGTCCGGCAGTCCGTCTGGTATAATCGCAAACCCCGACGGCAGAAGCGCAACGAAGTCTGGATTCCCTCCACCCATCACCAGAGTCATCGCTGGGGTGTCCACAGGCGCATAAACGACCATTGAACAGAAATCGTCCCACGAGCTCTCTTGCACAATGAGCATCACATTGTTGCTTTGCGAACTTGGTGCCTGGAAGATGCTTTGCGTAATTGGTGCCTGCAAGAAAAGTCAAAGTCAACCAGACACCAAAAGAGCATGCCCGCATTGGCCGCATTGCCAAGCAGAATGTTTAACAAGAAGGAACTGCAATTGACCTTTTCACGGTTCGTCATCAAATAAGCCCCTGGCATGATTTTCTTTTCTTTTCTTTTCTTTTCTTTTCTTTTCTTTTCTTTTCTTTTTTCAAGCATTTGGTTGCATGGGATTCCATCCTTTGGACAGGGGATAAGAGACCAATGCATGCCCGATGGAGGGTTCTCCTTTGTGGTGGCGTGGGGATCTGCACCTGCTGGGAACCTCGCCCATGGCATGCTAGATACATAAAGAGTTATTTTCTCGTTGTGCTATTTTAGAACAAAACTTCCAACCTTTACTGTCTTCATTGTTCTCTCTCTCTCTCTCTCTCTCTCTCTCTCTCTCTCTCTCTCTCTCTCTCTCTCNTCTCTCTCTCTCTCTCTCTCTCTCTCTCTCTCTCTCTCTCTCTCTCTCTCTCTCTCTCTCTCTCTCTCTCTCTCTCTCTCTCTCTCTCTTGGTGGGATCACAAGGCCCCTCACAACCTACGTTAGCATTTCTCTTTAGCTCAACCCCTACTTCCTGTCTTAAGGAACACCGAGGACCAATGCCCTCTACATTCCAGTGGACCTGCAGAAGGGCAGTCACAGGCACCAGCACTAGGTGGGAACCAGCCCATGCTTCTTTTTTTTTTTTTTTTAATGCTCAGATACGAGTCCAGGGTCCCTTTATCTTCTTTTTTTTTTTGCACAGCCCAGGGTCCGTTGATCAAGCATGAAGTCATTACAAGGCTGGTGGTAAAGGCAGGGAGCATGGACTGCCCTGGCTGTGGGACCACTAGATTTGCTGTTCTCCAGAATGCACAGCTGGAGCTGAAGAGCACAAGGCCTCTTCAACAAATACTAGATGGCGGGCCGTTGGCGGGCCAAACTTATCCCTCAACCCTAGCCCATGCGGTACAATTACTATGAAATAGTACGAATGAAAATAGGGGGGTTAACCGGGATAGTGGACTTGCACAAGGGCTTAAAAAACACACAAACAAAGAAACAAATAAACAAACAAACAAACAAACAAACAAACAAACAAACAAACAGACAAACAAATAAACAAACAGGGGGGGTATTTGGACCTGGAGCCAGAGAGGAGATCCTCACTACACGTAGGAAACACCAGGTGATCACTGTGTACTCAGTGACTGGCCTCTACAACCCCATGGACTTGGGAAAAAAAAAAAAAAAAAAAAGGAAACACCAAAGTTACCATGACAGGTTAACCCCTCACTACATTTTCTAGGCCCGGGGAGGGGAGGCAGGGGAGGGAAGAGTTATATTTTTTTCTCCCGCAATTTTTTAGTTATTTTTCTCCCAAAAACATCCCTTTTGGATGCTAGGGGTTTTGAATCTTTTGATAATAGCAAGTTTATTAGCAACCACTGCGAGTAGCACCATAGGGGAAGTTTTCGGGCAGACACAAAAACATGGCCCTATGGGCCTATACAAACATACAGAGCCTCTGGCCACGCACACAACTACGATACTGGGCTGGGGGGCTCTATCAGGTAAATGACGGGGTCTACGCATGCATGGCTTAGGTCTAGGGTAGGGTAGGGATATAAGTCGCTCCGGCTAGTCTGAGTTCCGCGTAGCCTTGGGTAAGCTAGGGGAAGGACGGTAGGATGTGTCGGCGGGCGCTGGCCTGCCTTACTTAGGTAATCCTGCTGGGTAGACTCTCTGAATTGGGCCTGGAGAAGATTGCATGAGCCTGGTGTCCGAAGTCCCCGTACGGCAAGGTCCATCCACTTCCGCTTCCATTAGGGCTGGGAGGTTGGCCCAGCCCTGGTGCTTGACAATGTCACTGCTGTGTGGTCCAAGTTGCCCTCAATACTGGTAGGGTGATGGTCCTGAGTGCTGATCACACTGAGGTAGGATAGTAGGAACAGGGGGTGCGCTGGGAGTATTAACGTGGGGATGGGTAGGGTAGGTGGCCGATCCTGTCACAGGCTGTCAGGACAACAATTGGCTGCCGCTACCAGCAATCACCGTGGGTCTGGTCCTTGGCCTCTACAACACACTGGGCTTTGCTTTAAAAAAACAAAAAAACAAAAGATTGTCGGGTCTTCATTTCGTTTTTAACTAGGCTACCAGGGGTGCACCCTGCCGGGCACCCGAGCAGGAGTACCCTGGGCGGCCTGCGTACCCCAGCCATGTCAAAGCTCTGTAACTCTTTTTTGTTTCTTTTATTTCTTTAGTGGGGATTTCCTGCACACAAAAAAACATCCCAAGTTTGAAAAAAAAAAAAAAAAAAAAAAAAAAACAGCCCAAATCCAGCTCTTTTCTGTTTTTCAGTATTGTCTGGTAGAGGGGTGGGGAAGGGGGCCTTAAATGGGGCTTAAAGGGGCTTAAAGGGGCTTACAGGGATTTAACGGAGGTTGCCTTGAAAAAAATTCCCTTTAATTTTAATCTTCAATCCTGTAAAGAATTCTGAGCTGACCCTCAGCCAGAAAGTTGTATCTTTTTCTTTTTTTTTTTTTTTTTTTTTTTTTTTTTTTTTTTAATGCCAGGAGTTGGGCCCAACGTCCCTGACATCTTTGATCGCAGTCGATGGGTCCGGATGGGACTAGCTAGGCTCTCCGGCCAAGCAGATAGGTATGAAACTGACAGATCATCTTCACAACTCCACACACGAGAATGCATGCAATCGCAGTCTTACACACCCATAGGCGTAGACATTTTTTTATTTTTTTTATTTTTTGCAGACAATTTAACAACAGTAAAGCAAAATTTCACTTTTGCCAATAGTTCGTTAGCAGTGGGTAATATCAAACTTAATCAAAGAGATAAATATCAAAGAGATAAAGGGCCTCTCCACACCACTCTCGAATCTCAAAAATTTGTGAGTCGGGCACCGCCACACAGCAGAAAAAAAACTCGAAACTGTTCGAGAGCTGTCAGAAAGGCGTTTTCGAGTGCCCTCTCGAAACGGTGTTTTCGCCCAGCCTGCAGCGTTGGAGTTTTCGTGATACCGCCCCTCCGCGCTCGAGTTCGACGTCCATTTAGAGAGTTGTCAGGCCGTTTTTCGTGATGCCGCCCGTCCGCGCTCGAGTTCGTCCATTTCGAGAGGCCGGTCTAGTGTGCTATGTGGCAAAGAGCCATTTTCTCTCGAAAACCGGCCTCTCGAAAAACCCTGACAGCTCTCGAATATTTTCGAGATTCGAGAGTGGTGTGGCAAGGCCCAAAGCAATCCGTAGGCGCTGGACCCGCTTTCCTGCAGGTGCTGCTCCCCACCAATAGACCGGAGCACTCAGGACAACCAAAAAAAGAAAAAAAGAAAAAAAAGAAAAAAAGGATCCCTGACCATGACACTGCAACGGTGGTCCATATAAATGAGATAAAGCAATCTGGTCGACCAAAAATCCCAAAAGGCGAAACCGCAAAATCCTACAAAAAACTATGGCTACTCACTACTACACCATGGAATATTGCAGCTTGCCAGCTACTATAACCCTAGTCTACTATAAGGGTTTGGCCCTGATTAGCATCAACTGGCAGGACAAAAACAATAGCCAGTATTTGTATGCATTGCAATTCTACACAATGCAGTTTTTCCTCCCCAGATTTTTCAAAACATTTTCATTGTTTTCTTCTATTTTAGTCCTCCCCCCCCGCCCCCCCACCACCACCACAAAAGGCCATTTTTTTTAATCAGAGTTGTGGGTCGTGTTGACTCTCCGGAAGTACTGGGGTGCTGTTCGGGGGCAAGGTCCCACTTGCATAAATTAGGAGATTTCGGCCGTTGATCCTTGTTATCTACGGTCAGTATCTCTTAATTCGTGCAAGTGGGACCTAGCCCCGGCTTGCCATCCATCCAGGCAAAATGGGCCTTGCATGTGCCCTGTTTTGCCTGGATGGATGTGGCCCAAAATAGCTCCCAGGTACGTCCCCAGAGTCCCGGCAGCATGCATGCTGCGACTCTGAATAAAATGGCTTACAGCCTGGGAAATGCAACAGCCTGGAAAACGTACTGGTGGTCCCCTGGTGGACGAATGGCGAATGGACTCTCGATTTCTGACCGTACTGGGACTCTGAAAAAAGTCCCAGGATCAAATATCAGAGTGGAGGAGGAGGGTCTAGCACTGGAGGGACTTTGTTAAAAAAAAAAAAAAAAAAAAAAAAAAAAAAAGGGGAGGAGAAAAGGAAAAAAAAAAAAGGGGTTTTTTTAAAAAAAAAAAAAAAAAAAAAAAAAAAAAAAGGGGGGGGGGAGGGGGGAAAAAAAAAATTTTTTTTTTTTTTTTTGTCTTGGGTTTGTTGGGGGGGGTGGGAAGCAACATAATAGAAAGAGAAAAGGGAAAGAATTTCAAAAAAAAAAAAAAAAAAACCTTTTTTCCTTTAATAATTAGATAATTTGGGGAAGGCCCCCCTTTTTTTTTTTTTTTTTTTAATGGGGACAAGGCTCCAATCTCTAGTCGTGGAGAGAAGCACCTGCTGGGAACCGGGCCCAGCATCCCATGTGGAAATTTACGTAGAATTTGAAAGTTTGAGATACCGGGGCCATTACCCTACTTTGGCTAAACCACTAGTTAAGTAGCTTTGTCGGTTCGAAAAATACTCGGCCTCCGACCTTTCAGGAGGCTGAATGAGATTTATCAACGTCGGGCTCGGCCTCCTGAAAGTTTGGGAGCTGGCAAGAACTTGTCGAAAATAGGCTCGGAGGTACTAGTGGTCTAAGAAAATTTTGACAAACTTCTGAAAAACGGTCTACGGTCTACCCACAACAAATCAGGCATCCACAGAGGTCCTACAAGCGCGCAAAACCCTGTGGATCCCTAGCAACCCCTCTAAAGCTCTCCAGCACTGTCTTACTCCCTGCCAAGCTCTTTCAGGCCTCACACCCCCACCCTGCTGGGTTACAGGGCAAAACCACTCGCCCCAGCTCCGGCCAGCGTAGATGGGAAGTCAACATAACAGGGGAAAAAAAAAAAAAAA